GCAATGCATATAGCATTTGAGTTTGATAAGAATTACATTATTTATCCACATATGTACATCGAATAACTAGACATGTTTACATGAAATGAAGTGTATCTACTATATAGTATGATGGTAATTGTACAATTTATGAATATATGCACATGAAATGAATGATGAGACATTTATATGAAATGCGATATATATACAACACAAAACATGTGAATGTATGCATGAAATGTGATATCCTATTTCATTATGTGTTTGCATGAAATGCAATATGCTTATAATGCAAGTTTAAAATCATATCACTTATGAATATATGAGCATGAAACACAATAACACACTCTATGAGTACTGAGATATATATATATATATATATATGACTGATGAAACATACTTATATGTAATGCACTAGTATACTATGCGCATGACAAAATATGTTTACACGAGATGTAATGCATGTGTTATGCAAACTTAATGAAATTGACACTACTATTAAGACGTGCATAAGATAGAGTGCATGTAATATCTATTGAAATGTGTATGAGATAAAACATATGCATTATCTAATTAAGATGTGCATGAGATGGAATGCATATATTACTATCTATTAATATGTGCATGAATGAAATGCATGTATTATCTTATTTTTCTAACTCTAAAAACATGAAAATGTATGCAAATAAGATCAAATGAAATACAAGGAATGAAATAACATTTACTTTCCTTTTTATTTTTTAAAAAGGGCAAAATCCAAAAACACACACATATTTTATTTATTTCACATGAAATGACCAGGATTTACAATGTTTTTTATTTTTTAAAGTTTTATTTCTTTATTTCTCTTTTTTTTAATGGCCAAAAAAAAATTTAAGAAAAATTTTTTATTTTCCTTTCTTTTTGAAAAATTTTGTGCTTTTTTAATTATTTTTGAACTTTTTACCATATCATTTTTTACAAGGCCCATTATTCTACTTAGTCAATTTCAAAACTTTCCTTTTATTTAAAATGTGGGTACACTAAAAATACAAATAAACTCAATTCTAAATTCGTTCAAAAGAAAATTTGGGTTGAAACAAAAAAGGTAAAATCTTTTTTTACCTCTTATTTGACTAACAAAAAAATTAAGAAAAGTTCCTTCTATCTGTTTTTCTATTTTTGTTTGTTTTTTTCTCTTTATTAAAAAAATTGAACAAAAACTTTTTTGTAGGCTGCAATTCTCAGACAAACATTAGACAAATCAAAATAGTATGTTAAAAGAAAATTTTATTAAAAGCATTTTTTTCTTTTTTTTTTTTTCAAAATTTAGTTTCCTTTGCATTATTATGACCCTCAAAGTATAGGTTATATCGAAGTATTCTTCACGTGTCCTAATTCAGGTAATTCTATAAAAAAAGTCGACATAGTTCTACCTAGGATTGGTCCTTTAAGGTTCACTTTATACGGAGTTGGAAATTTACATATCCAAAGGTTCCTAGATTGTTCCTCACATCATCGTCCATTATAGACTAGCAAGGTATCTCGATCCTTACCCATGACGGGTTACAAATGAAAAAAATTTAATATGAGTGAAAATATTTTATTAGCAAATGTGAAAGTTATCACCTTACGAGCGCATAGCTATTTAACTTCCTCGTAATATGGACAGAGCTCGAGTCTACAACTTATGCATGTAAGTGCCTATGCAAAATGTGTGGGAAATATAACAAGTAAAACAATATAAGTAAAGGACAATAGAATGATAAAATCAAAGTATGGATGTAACTAACATGCATTATTTTTCAAAAGAATTAAAATGAAAGGAATTAGGTATCATTTAAACCATTAAATCTAAAACATGAGATAACACATGATTAATGTTTGGCCTAACTCTAAAAAAAATCTCCCCAATGGAGGCCCCAAGTTGACATAACGATCTCCGGACCACTAGACAAAAAGTTTTAAAATCGAGAAAAAAAAATAAAGGAGTCACCACCAATATTTTTTGTTAGGTGTGATTAGCCACCGAAAGTTTTTCTTTTTAATAAAATAATAAAATAAGTTTAAAGTTTATCAAAAGACAATTTTGGTCTACGAAAATAAAATTGGGTTCAAAAATTGGTTACGTGTGGGGAAGGATTAGCACCTTCACAGCACCCACGAAAATTGGTACCAATTAATCACGCTTTATCTTTGGGGTTGAATAAAATGGTTTCGATTTGAAATTTAATAATAATTCTTTTTTCTTTAAAAAATAAATTTATTAAAATTTTGTATCTAAGAATATCAAAAAAATCTTTAAGTTAAAGAATTATCTTAAAATTCTCCTACATGTAGGCAAAATTACGGATAATTCTTTTCACTTAAGATTTGTTACAACATTTCTCAAAATGAAAATAACATTCTTTGTAGATGACAATTGTTGGTGACTCTCGAATATCTAAACAAAGTACCAAAAATTATTTTTCTTAGAATATTAATTTAGTTTTATTTAAAAATTTATTTTTTGAATAATACTTTTTATAAAAACATTTTGTGCAAAAAAAAATTTGATGATGCTATAATTAACTAAAAAACAATAGTAAAAGGCTTAAACATGTGGAATGAATACAAGTAATAATAAATATATATATATGCCAATGGATAACATACATGATGATAAAATGCCATTTTGAAATCATGTTCTTAAATATATTAAAACCACCCGAGCTCTCCAACCTTTAGGTAAAATTTAGGTGCAACTATTTATATTTAAGATCTAATTTTTTATTTTTCCTTTTATTTAATCTCATTTTATTATGGATTCAGGACTCATTAAAAAAAATTAAAGAAATAAAATTTTCTAAATACCCAATCTTTTAAGCGATATTCGAAAACAAGTTACTTCATATGAGATTTTTATGTTTATCTTTAGAATTTTGGGATGGTTTTGGGAATGAACTTAGGTTGAGGTTTTTAGGGTTTGAATGATTTTTGGTCAATGATTTAGGGCTATAAGTTGAATTTAAGTTTTAGGTTAAATTTAGGGTCTTGTTTTAGAGTTTTAAGGTTTTAGGTTTCGCAATTTTAAGGTTTCAATTTTAGGGTTTGGTGTTTTAATGTTTTAGCATTCTAAGGTTTTAGGGTTTTGAGGTTTCAAGATTTTGAGGGTTTTTGGATTTGGAATTTTAGGGTTTTAAGATTCTATGATTTTATGGTTTTGGACTTCTAAGGTTTTGAATTTTAAAGTTTCAAGGTTTTGGGGTTTCATAATTTTAAGATTTTAGCTTTAGGGTTTGGTGTTTTAGGGTCTTAAGGTTTTAAGATTATAGTGTTTTGAGGGTTTTAGCGTTTTGGATTTTAGGGTTTTATATTTTAGGGTTTGGGAGTTTTAAGGTTTTGGATTTTAGGATTTTGTATTTTAAGGTTTTAAGAGTTTTGAATTTTAAGGTTTTGAGGTTTTAAAATTTCAAGTTTTAAGGTTTCGAGATTTTAACGTTTTTGGAGTTTTAAGGTTTTGGAATTTTTCTTCATGAGAAAAATGGAAATTATTGATAACTTGAACTTTCTCAATTTTTTTCAATATTTAGGTAGACTTTAGGATCAAGTTCAATTTTCATAATTTCTTTTTTTTTCTTAGTAGTTTTATATTAATGCAACATGAAGCAAATAAAGTATGCAAATAAAAGCTAAAAAATTTTAAACAACCAATTTGATCAATTTATGCATATTTATTCCTATTTACTTTTTTTTTTAGTTTTTTTTCCAAAATAAAAATGAATGGAAGCAATTTTGTTTATTATTATTTTTTGTTTGTAAAGGAAATTTTAAAAAAAAAATTTTTTTAATTCAATTGTTTAGAAAATATTTTTAAAATTTTAATTTTTCAACATCTAGGCGAAATTAAACTCTTTAAAACACGATTTAAATTCTCTCCAACATCTAGGCAG